ACAGACCTGGTTTTGCTCTTTATAGCAGAGACCTCAGCTGAGTATATTATGTAACCTAAGACTCTCCTTGCAAAATGAGGTGGAAAAAACCCTACATCATAAAGTTGCAGAATAAATGACATCAATGTAGGGTCCAGCTCACAGTCGGAAAAGGTGGTTCCTTTCCTTTTGATCCTCTGAGAAAGTCGTTAACATACTGGCTTTAAGTGTCCATCTTAGGAGTATAACCTAAATATCTTTGGGTTACAAATAATGCTGTATGATTAATAGCTCACAGTAGTGCTTTCTGGGCATCCCTGGGAGTATGGCCTGTACTGTTTCTCTCATCTGCTTCCTCCTGCCCCTCTTCTGTTTCCCAAGATCAACACGGCAGCACCTAGCCCTGCCTCTCTGGTGGAGCTCTCAACAGGGTGGTTCCTTCCATGAGAACCCCTGAGATTTCCAAACTGCACAATGCCTTCCAGAAGCCAAGATGACGTTTGTGCTAAGACTCTACTGTAGCAGAACCACACTGTGTCAACGTGGAAATACTGCCCCCTGCTTTGTTTCTCACTGTGCGGTGTGGGTCACGAGCAGCACTACCTGTGCCTCCCTATGACAAAAGCTTCTTAGGCATCTACCTGCAGCCTCCCCGTCCCCCTCCCCAGCATCCAGGGGGAGGACTCAGGAATTCTCTAGCCCCAAGGTCCCCTTTCCACCTAATCCCACACAAGGCAAACCAATTCCTGTAGGCAGAGGCCTTCAGCCTGTCAGTTTCCCAGGTGATCATAACTACCTAGACTCAGAACCCAGTTTAGGCTCGACTGAGGCCCTCTCTACAATAGCAGTTACTGCACATTCTTATTTTTCATCCACTCGGGGGCTGCCTTCGAATCAAATGCAAGCATGAGACCGAGTAAAATGTATACTATACATTTATTCTGTGACATTTTCCTTATTGAAGAGATTTTAAAATACATCAATATTTCATGAAAAATACAAAGTATAAGAATTTAGATAATACCTGTAATATACATGATTTGACCCTGAATATGCTTTCTTTTTTCCATTTCAAACACCATTTTTTTTAAGTAACATAAAATGAAAATATTGCTTCAGAAACCCTGTGTCTTACAGAATTTCATTTAACTGCCAGTTCTCTTCTCAACTACGTATGTTAATGGTATTTGCTTCTGCTTTTGGGTGGGCAGAGCAGCCGGTTTCTGTCTCTTCACGGTGATGTTGAGGTCTTCTCGCTCCGACTCCTCCAGAAGATGCTTCATGGTGAGTCTGAATACTAACCGAGGGTCAGCCTCAGAAAGAGCTGGACAATTACAGGCGTCTCTGATTTTAAGAGCCTATAAAGAAAGAGCACAATACAATTAAAACAAACAAATGTCTTATAGTTGTGCCAGTACTTCCTAACATGCTCTGTGTAACGCAGCCACACATAAGAATATACTCTGTGGTTTTAAAATAAAAGGTACATTTCACAACACCTAAAAGGAACAAAAGAGAGACTCGGGTAAATGGTTGCGTACGTAGCTTCGTAATTCTTAGAGGTACTGCTATGAGAACAACGATCCGAATTAGCAAAGACCTGAAGGCTGAGATGGTTTTCAAGAAAAGGAAGGCAACACGAGACAGATACCTGCACGCACTAGAAGAAGGTACGCATAGGAACTGGGATGGTCTCAGGTGGAATTGATGCTAATCACCTAGAAGAATAAGCAAATCAAAACTATGATAATTTTTAACTCTAGGAAAAAAAACGCTGTATGGAAAGAAAGCGCCATTGCAGTATACACTACATGACTCAGCTGTGTCCGTGTTTTCAGTTGGAAAACAAGGAATCCTGTTTGATCTGTCTAAAATCACCACCTAACTTTCTTAAAGGGGGTGAGCTAAGTACAGGGGCAGTGAACTATTTAATATGGCTCTTCTAGTCAGTCTCTAACTCCCACCAAACGACCTTTGCCTGCATGGATTTGGTACGAAGGTAGGGCAGACACCGAGTAAAGCTGTGAGTAACTGCAACCAGAATTTTCCCTAGAGTGACATCCTGCTGTGTATGAAATGAGCCCTCTGAGAGGCAGGAAGAGAGAGATCATCACCAGCAAGAGTCAGGAGTGGAACACTTCCTCTGGACCCAATATTCCTGTGCAGTGACCCTCCTGCATCCAAAGAGCAGCAGCAGAACCATGAGCCAGAGCAAGCAACAGAGGGATGGACTCTCCCACCCATGGAACAGTTAAGATGGGTGTTTTTGTGCTGGCTTGCAGAGTGGGGTGCCTCTGGGCACTTAATAGGGGAAGCTGGCCTTGCTGACCTATGGAAGTGGAGGTGAGTGCCTTCGGGCTGCCACTGTACACTTAATTCAGGGATCTAGGTTTGCTGATCCACAGAGCTGGATCCGAATGCCTTCCGGTTGAAGCTTACAGTAGAGTAGTGTGGCCCTTTGGGCATTTATTAGCAGGCCTGAAACTCTGTAATCGGAGTCTAATGAGGGAGCCTAGTGGTGTAGCTGTAACAAGTTGGACTGCTAACCTTAGGTCAGCAGTTCAAAACCACCAGCTGTTTCTCCAAAGACAGGGCTTACATATTATATAAACTTTGTATTATGTCCTGAGCATTTCTCACTGGCATTACAGCTTGCTAACTTCCCTAAAAACCCTTCAATCATAAATTTTCTCTGTGTTTCTGTGTAGCCATTGCAATGGAGATTAGAACCCAAATAAGTAAAATAGAGAACACGAAGACATTGTACCAAGGACGTGTGTGCATGTGCTGGCTGTGATAGTGGTATAAGAGTGTCTGGTTCTCAGTGGAAAGCAGGTCATGCCCAAGACTGCACAGCTGGTAAGCAGTGATACCGTCACATCCTGCAGACAGAGAAAGAAACCTGGTAAAGAGCTGGAAACGGTGACCTCTGGGAGGTCAGGAAATGAAGTGGACGTTTTAAGACTAGTCTTAAAGATGAAAAGCAGCTGTCAGGAAGGCCTGCCTCCAGCTTTGCCCTCCTGCGAAGCTCTAGAGAAGCGGTCCTCAACCTGTGGTTGCGCCCCCTTTGGGGGGGCAAGCAACCCTCTCACAGGGGTCGCCTGATTCCTAACAGGCGCAAAATTCCAGTGATGAAGTAGCAATGAAAATAATGTTATGGCTGGGGGTCCCCACAACATGAGAACTGTATGAAAAGGGTGGTGGCATGAGGAAGGTTGAGAGCCACTGCCCTAGAGGGTTCCGAGACTCCAGGCCCTGCTGCCCGTGGCTGAGCCGCCCTGGTACCCACCCTCGGGCCACTTCCATTGCATTTCCCAATTGTTGGGCATTTCTTTGATTGGTTTTCACGTTGTGTTTTCTCCAGTTTTTAATAAATTACCCTATGAAAATCTTTGTCTAAAATACATGAATTTTTAACCTCTTTGGGCTTACTTGCCATAAAGCTTCTAAAATCAACTGGCCTAATCAAAGCATAAGAACAGATGCATGCTTTAATTACATAAAAACAGACTACTTTGCCTAAAAACATTTTATCAATTTATAACGCCACCAGCAACAGAGGCAAGCCAGAATTATTCACAATTAGGAGAATGTAAGATTCATCATTTTGATCTGACAACCATAGGATTTCAAAGCTCTGATTCGTTAGAAATGAAGCATCACCCAAAATGGACGGACAAGAAAACTGAGCCCCAGAGAGGCCCCTCGACTGACAAGAGGGCAAAATGCTGTCTCGGAAATCAAAAAGCTTCTATTAGAAACTGATTTTGTTTGGTGGTGAATGAAGTTTCAAGCCAGTTCAAACTGGCTCAGCATGGCTGACAAAATGAAATCAGAACAGACTCAAATTTGTAAAGTGGATGTATCAGAATGATAACCGGAAAGGGAAACTTAACGGGTCAAAGCCCCGAACTGGGAGACTCCGGAGAGATGTAGTGAGCCCTTCCAGGGGTCTAATGAGGGAGGGAAGATGCCCTGGTGGTGTAGCTGTAACAAATCCGACTGCTAACCTTGGGTCAGCAGTTCAAAACCACCAGCTGTTTCTCCGAAGACAGGGCTTTCTACTCCCGTAAAGAGTTAGTCTGGGAAACTCACAAAGGCAGTTCCACCCTGCCCTACAGAGTTGCTGCAGGTCAGGGTTGACCAGATGGCAGTGAGTGGGGCAATGAGGGAGACTGGACTTAAAGCGGAGGAGCACAACACACAGGGCCCCATGATTCTCAACCCTGCTGGGCAAGGATTTGTTTGCTACATAGTGTACACGCTGCTCTTGTTCCCTAAGAGGAAATTAAATGTCTAGCAGGCATCGACTTGGCGACTTTCCCCACTCGGGTTATCATTCCAATACGTCCACACTCGACAAGCGTGGGTTCATTCTGGTGCCACCTCACCGGCTATCAGTGAGCCGGGAAGAATTGGTTTGAAGCCCTCGTTGTTAATGCTTTCTGTACTAATGCTGCTTTTTTTTTTTTTGGCACTACATATGCTTCTTGCATAAATCTTTTATAGTATAAATGTACTTTGGAGATGTTTGAGCTCAGTTTAATTACAGGAAAATGGTATACTTTCTTTATAAAGGGTTTCTATCAATATTTCTTCATGTGTGAACTGTTTCTCTCCTTCAACTATCAAGAGGAATCCTGTTACAAACCCTATATATTTCTATAAAAGCTTCATCTACTTTGCATACTAATCTTTTATTACACATCCCGATGAAATATTCTCTTCTCTGCTTTCCCTTCCATATTTTGCTACATTTTAGGTGCCAACATCTTTTTATTTTTATAAATTCACACTTACCGTACTGAATATTTCTCCTCTGAACAAAAATAAGCAAGATGTTTCTACTGTACAGCTAGAATATGCTCTTCTATTTCCTTTTCTTATCATTCTATGCACTGCACAGAATAGGCACTTAATAAATGCATGTTGAATTTTAAACAAATATTTATAGACTACTTATGAATAAACCATTATGATAAATGTCAAAGGTAAAAAACACTTATGAGTTTACACTATAATAGAAAGCAGACATGCGCATTTGTAGTAAGAATATAAGGTTCTGAGGATCCCAAAGAAGATTTGGGGTTAAATATGGAATTAGCCAGCCAGCCGGTCACAATTCTAAAAGAGTTCCACTAGAAGGGAAAAGGGCTCCCATTTACTGTTCACTTCCCACAAAGGGACTTCAAAGAGTTGTGAATTTTTTCTCTCTTCTTAATTCCATTCTTCTGTGCACTTTTTGAAGTCCCTTCCTATGTACCTTGCTCCGTGCCAGGTAGTTTACATGTTATGATTTTCCACGGTGTTTTGAAGAGATCATTTTTAAAAACGTTTAATTACTTTAAAAATCTTGAGTCCAGTCTAGAATTCCTACCGTTAAAGTGTCTCACGATTATGAAAGAAGAGGGCAGTAGAGAGGGAAAGAGTGAAGAAGGAACTAAGTATTGGTTTCATCCACACAGTCCAGTCAGCACTTGGGAGATCTTCACCAGTTGCCATCAATTCACTTCTGACTAATGGAGACAGAGTGGAATCGTGCTCCAAAAGGTCTTTAATGGCTCACTTCAGAAGGAGCTCACCATCAGGACTTTCTTCCAAAGAGTCTCTGAGCGGTCTTGAACTCATCTTTACATTAGCAGACAAGGGCGTTGACCAGAGGCTCGCAGGAGACAGCACTATTGCCATTTTGCTGATGAATAAAATGGAAGGTTGGATTAGGTAAATTCCTCAAAGTGCCTGAGGAAGAATTACAACCCAAGATGCCTTACTAAATTTTTAACTACATCCTTCTCTCATCACCAATTTTTGATTTGTTACATCTCAGTTTCACTGAGGGGAATGCTATCTAAATCCATTGTTCTATTGTTAACTTAATGTTACATTACTTATCTTTCCTCTTATTACACATTTTGCAGTCATTTAACAAATGTTTACTCAGCAACTCACAGAAACTAGGGGTGTAGACGTGAACTAGGTCCTTACATACTAAGGAAGCTCGGAGTTGGGAAGGATACTTGAGTTAAGTGCATGAAGAAACTAAACAGTCTAGTGTCAGAGAATAATGGCAGGAATAAAGGCTATGCCATCAGAGAATCAGAGAAAGCTGGCCTGTGGAGGTGACGCCTGTACAAAGAACTGACTGGAGAATGATTCGTGTAGATAAACCTGAGAGTTGTGAGGAGAAACACGGGAGCCGGTGGAGCGTGACAGGTGATGATAGGGTTGGACAGTGGCCAAATTATGGGACTTCAAGACCACAGGCAGGAGCTTGGGTTTTTAGTCCAAATTAAAGAAAAAGTCACTGGAAGGTTTTAAGCAGGAAGATGGCTTCAAAAAGATCACTCTGCTAACTGTAGTGAAAATGGACGGGTAGAATCGAAGGTAAACAATGAAAGCAGAAGATTAAAATCAGAAGTGACCGTAGTCCTCTGGGGGAGAGATGCTGACCCTCACTAGGGGGACCATCACTGGGACAGGGAAAAGCGAACAGAGCCCTGATGCGGTGGCTGCAGCTGATGGGCTTTTCTCCTAGATAGGACGCAGAAGCCAAGGAAATGAAACCCTACATTTCCTCTCCTCTGTCCTGTTACACTATTCATGCATCTGAGAATAATGTACTTGCTCAAAGTGAATAGCTATTGTAATGCAGTCCTGTACTATGGGCTACCGAAAACAACCGGAATTGTGTTTCTCCAAAGCTATGCATTTAAATTTTTTTACAAAATAACCTTATCACCTTCAAAGTACTCTCCATTACACTTAATACATTTGTCAAATCTGTGATTCCACTCTTGAAAACATTTTTCAAACTCATCTGTTTGGGTGGCTGGCAGCACCTCCTTCATTTTTTTCTTCACCTCTTCTGCGTTTTAAATCGCTGTCTTTTCATGCCCTTCTTCATTTGAAGAAACAAAAGTAAGTTGCACAGAGCAAGGTCAGGTGAGTAAGGTGCATGGGGAAAGAGAGGCATGCTGCTTTTTGCCCAATACTGGCAAACTGAGATGGCGGCGTGAGCAGGCACATTGTGGTGGTGGCAAAACCGGTCCCCTGCTTGCCACAAATATCAGGCCCTTTTTGTTGCACACTGTTACACAATCTGTTCAGAAACTCTAAATAGAAAGCTTGCTTAACAGTCTGACCTAGTGGAACAAACTCCAAATGCATTGAGTTGACATTTTTGTCCATTCAGGAAGTTGACAGACGTCCAGAATAAGGTTTGTCCATCAATCGACATTTCATCTTTCTTTAAAGAGAAAACCACTCATACGCTTGAGTTTTTCCCGTAGTGCTATCCTTGTAAGCTGTGTTCGACATCACAACAGTTTCTGCAGCATTTTCCTGAGCAGGAAACAAAATTCCACAGCCGCACACTGTTCTCCTAAATCAGCCATCAGAGAAAACATGGTTCAAGGGAAACAGCTTTGACAAAAACGTTCACTGTGAATGTGTTTGGATCTTCCCAGGCGACATCACTGGTTGCCTAACTCAGAGTGAGTTGCTTGATGCTCGCCTGGCAGGAAAAGTGAGTATGAAATCTCCACCCAGCGGAGCTTTCTTCCGGCTTTAGGGGCTAACCTCTCATATTATTTACTTGATAATGGCCCCGATCCACCCCCAGTTCTTTATAGGTTTTTGTTCTCATCAAATCAGCAAGACAAAATCCTTCTATGCTCAAAAATTGAAGTAGAGAGTTAGCAATGTCCTTTTCTGTGTTTTGAACCTAGAATTAATTTCCTACTGAACAACTGTTCTTTGACCTTTTGAAAACATTCTCCAAAGTAAATCCCCATCAGGGCAAGCTGCCCTTTTCTTTATTAATTTGTTATGACTCTTTGGGTTTCTAAAACTATTGTTTTTATTTATTTATACTTTACCCTTTTCCAAACTTATTTTGAGGAGGTTGATTCTAGTTAAAATTTCAGACATGGCAAGATATGACAAAATAATAATGTATAAATTATCAAGGGCTCATGAGGGAAGAGGGGGTGGGAGGAGGAAAAATGAGGACCTGATGCCAGGGGCTTAAGTGGAGAGCAAATGTTTTGAGAATGATGAGGGCAATGAATGTACAAATGTGCTTTACACAACTGAATGTCTGTGATAAGAGTTGTATGAGCCCCTAATAAAACGATTTAAAAAAAATTCTAGTTCTTGCTGCATCCACTTTGGCAGTTCATTAGTTTCCATCAGTAAAACACACACACACACACACACACACACACACACACCTTTCTCCCCTTGCCCTTCTCTCCTCTCTCTCTCTCTCCATCATTGAATAATTCCAACTCAGATCAGCCCTATGTAATCATGTAGAACTGCCCTATAGAGTGTTCTTGGTTATTATCTCCTTAGGGCAGTAAATCATCGCTAAGTCTTTTTCCCTTGGAGCAGCTGGCTGGGTTTGAACTACCAACTTTATGGTTAGCAACAATGTGGTTAACCATTGTACAACCAGGACTTCCTTAATATCAAGTGTTCAAAAATAACTTTCCCCAAGGATTCTGGGTTTTTTAATGTTAGTTGTTACAGTTCTTCTTCAGGTCCTATGTACATTTATTCTTTTAAAATCATTTCACTGGGAGCTCTTACAGATTGGCTACCCTAACTTTCCAGAGTTCAATCACATCAAGCAGTGTTGTATAACCGCTACCATAATCAGTTTCAAAACATTTTCTTTCTTCTTGAATTCCTTGATATCGGCTCCCCTTTATCCTCTCCCTCCCCCACCACACCCCCAGGAACACTTACTCTTTTAATTTTTTCTATAATAGTTTTGTTGTTGTTGTTTGCCATATGTCACACAATCCAATGTATTGTTCACATACAGTCCTGTTGTTCTATCCCTTCCAGTCGGGTTATACAGTCCTCAATGCTGTCAGCTCCCCCTGCCCCTCCCCAGTTCCACTTTATTCTTTATCAAAATAACTGATTCAATAGTCATCACTTTGACCAACGTTCCCAAAGAATCGACTATACACATTTTGTTACTCTCTACTTAGTTTTATTATTTATATTTTCCCTATTTGGGGCACTTGTTATAATCTAACTTCTTTTCTCTTTCTTAATAATTTAGACATTAAGATTAATAAAAACTTTATCTATATTAGGAATCTTATTGGCACTATCAAGTACTGGACTGCTAATCACAAGGTCAGTGATTCAAACCCACCAGGCATTCCACCAGAGAAAGACGAGGCTGTCTGCTCCCCTAAAGATTTATAGCTCAGTCACTTTATAGGGTCACTTTGAGTTGAAATTAACTCAATGGTAGTGGGTTTGTGGGGTTTTTTTAATAGGCTTGGTAGAAACTCATAAAAATATAGCTCATTATAAAATGTGCTGATTTTTAAAGATATTTTATCATTATAGATGTCTCTCATCTTATACATTATTTTAATTTTCATGAGGCCAATTACCTTTTAACTTTTAATACTAACTTTACTGTACTGTATTTGAATTCTTTGGTTTATAACATTTTTATATGTTTTTGTACAAGCTATATGACCGGTATTTTTATAAGATTTTTATGTATTTTAAAAGAAAGTAGAGTTTTCTTAGTATTTCATGTTTTTGTCAGTTAAACCTTGTTTCCATCTCTGAGCTTTGTCAAAGAAACCCTGGTGGCATGGTGGGCTATGAGTTGGGCAGTTCGAGGCCCCAGCATGAAGAGTTGCACAGTCTCAGAACCCCCCGGGCCGGTTCGACTCTGTCCTACAGGTCACGGAACTGACTCCACGCCAGTGAATTGGGTTTTGATGTGCTTTGTTTACCCTTTACTTGATGTGTGGTTTTCGAAGAATTGTAGCAAATACAGAAAAACAAGTAAGTACAATTTACATAATTGCTGTTCTTTAATGACTATTGGCTACTGAGTACATCACTGACATATTAGTCTATGTATTTCATTTATTAAAAGATCTTTCTATCCTAAAAGAAAGAAAAGCTGGTTTGGCTAGCTACCATATCAAAGAGTATTTGTTCCACTGTGTTTTGCTGTTGTTAGTTTGGTTGGTTTCTTTCTCCTTGAACCCTTAAACTTCTTCAAGGTCTGAAAAGGCTCCACCATTTTTACTTATAATTTTTAAATTGTCTCTTTTTACCTTAGCGGCTTGTAAGACAAGGTATTTGCAAAGATGATTACCATGATACATTTACATATCCAAGCATCATCATTTCGTGTTTTCTTGTGCATGAAGCTCTGTAAATTTTCATAAAAATACCTTCTTGACAGCAACGGGGCCAATGGCCCCAGGAGGTAGAGGAAGAAGGAGGTGGGGAAAAGGGTGTGGTCATGGACAGGGGAACATCTAGGGAAGCAGAGCCAGCATCCAGAAAAGGGTAGAGATCCTGTGAGTATTAGAGCAACACCAAGTTAGTGGAGAGGAAGCACTAAGAGGTGGAAAGAGGGGGAAAGTGATGGCGGGGCAAGAGGAGGCAAAAGGAAACAGAGGAAACCTCTAGGAAGCAAAGGCATGGATAGGGAGATTAACGGAGGTGTGCACTTATGCAAATGCATTCATCCATAACAATAGTGGTATGGGCCTATGTACATATATTTATAAGGCAATACACTGAAGCTGCAGACGGCCCTCGGCTCATACCTTCCCTCAATACAAGAACACTTTGTTCTAACAAATTGGCATTCTGTGATGCTCACCCCACCCTCCACCCTCTACATGATCGCTGAAG